GCCCCTGAACAGAAATCTAGGATTCTTCCTAGATTATTTTATTAATGAGGGGAAATAAGCTGTTATACAACAGTAAACTATTTTTCCAGACTAGGTAGGATTCCTGTAGGCATGTAGAGCCCCATTTTTTCTCTAGTTTCTTGGCATTTTGCTCCTAAGTGCAAAGTTCTGCATTGAACCAAGGAGCCACAACCCATAAGCAAAATAATCAATTTGTCAAGGGGAATAATTTAAATTGTTTCCCTATGCAGTATTGTTCAGTGACACAGAGGATATAATAAGTGGAACAGATTCTTTCAAATTTATAACTGCATTATCTGATAATGATCCACTAAAGTGAAACCTTCTTTTAGGAGAGCGGAACGATATTTATTCTCCAGGTGCACACTATCTATATTTTTAAAACACGTTACAGTGCAGTATTTTATTATTTTTTTTATTCTAAGGTCCACATTTGTGTGACCATTTTTTCTATAATCTTTTTCCTGCTGTAACATCAGAATTTCCCCATTGTGAGACAATGAAGGGGTTTTCCATTCTATATGTCAGCACAAGTTCCAAGTATGAAGATGAGAATGTAGAGGGACTATTCACATTTAGAGCAAATCTAAGTTAGGATTAAAGGCTGCATTTAAGCCATCACCTTTAATGTAGGCAATTATGTTAAAATCAGCCGCTATAATCAACTTGTCAGAGTTTAACACTGAATCAGGAAGGAACTCTGAAAACTCAGTACAATTCTTTGAGCTGATTGGGTAAGTCAGTAAGTGGCACATGCCTCTATGTACAGTTTTTAGCCAATCACAGCAGCTGTAGCCTATATTGCATAGGCTACAGCTCAAGAATGTATGACATTCTTGAGTTGTTTCACAACTAGCCGAGTTAACGGATTGATCAAACTCATCAAATCTGGTCGGGAGGAATGTGGAAACATGTTTCCCATTAATAAAGGTTAAAATCTTGTTCTTTTGTTTTTTTTTATTTTAAAAAGAATGTATTCCAGTGACAGCTTGAGATGGGCACCAGCACCCCTCGTGACCCCAGCAGGGAGAAGCATGACGGGAAATGGATTGATTCTTTTAGTTGCCTTTATTTAAGAGTCAACTGACAGGAAATAAGGAGGTCAGAGAGGAAAGACATGCAACAAATGTTGACAGGCGTTGACGTTGAATACCGATCAGAGCCAAGCCTTTTGATGGTGATTTCAACCCAAGTGACTTGTTGAGTTGTTTGACCCGGGTCAGTGAGCAGTTCCCAGATCCACTAAAAGCCGATAGTTCGCAAGCTTACATGTTTGGTGTTTTTTGGCCAGTGGGAAACGGGTATTAGAATGTGCTTCCAAGTATTGATGTCAAAGAGACATATTTGAAATCGGCATTATAATACATCAACACATCACTTTCAAGTAGAGCTTAGTTACATAATTACATACTAAAATAAATAGTAAAACATTTTCAAAAGCCTAAAATGTATAGAGCAAAGCAGTAATGATTTGAAAACAAAAAATGAGACAAAGTATAAAATAAAACATAAAAACTTAGTTGGAAAAGTTTGCTCAAAACTGACCTGAGAACTGGATGGAAACCCAAATAACCACATTTTGCATTCCCTATCAGTAACAATTTCATTGAAAACAGATTAAGCCTTAACATCATCAGAACTTAGGTCATGCCAGTTTAAAGGGATATTGTGTAACAATTTCTCTTTTTTTAACTGTCTGAAATCAAAGATTGCATTTAAAAAACAATTTTTACCTTGCAGACACTTCAATGTAATTAAGAGGCGGCGTTGAAGATCATTTGGAGATGCTAACCCAACAAGTGAAAGTCTGCACTACAGCAGTGTAATGCGGGACAGTGCATATGAAGCAGCGAGCAACGGTTTCACCATCTCCAAAAAAAGTGAAAAAGAGAACTTAAAACACGACAAAACCAGAGACACCAAAAACCAAGAACGAACATGAAGCAAACATTCCTCAGGTGGAAGGTGTTAGTAAAGAAGAGATTTTAAACGGGATGCTGAAGTTAGAAAGTTTCTCCTTGACAAGTGATCTGTACTGCCTAAATTAGCGTAAAGCTAACTTTTTCCATTCAGCTAAATTAGGCAGCGTCGCTTGTTACTGTACAAGGCATAAAAGTAGATCTTGCAAACATACCAATCTTCATAAAGAATTGTAGGTTTATGTATGTTTATTAGCTTTCAAAGCCACGGTGAACGCTGCCTTTTTGTCCCAGTAAATGAAAATGAGACTTTTCACTTGGGATGGTATAGCTTTATCTGAGCTTTTGAAGCTTTTTGAGTCATGGCAGCCATCATTGCTGCAATATGTGTTTGAGGCAGTAACGCACTATAGCAGTGGTCTTTTGCATGCAATACTTCACAACTAGATGACAGTATATCTTACACAATATCCCTTTAAGAAATCATCATGAACAAAAACAGACAGCATTGACTTCTCTTCCATAAAATTATCTCTAGATCAGGACTTTAGTGGGATTTTTTAGGGGGTCTGGTATGACTGCTTCAGTCCTTTTTTGTCAGAATAGAAGGCCACTTCAATTCAATTCAGTTTATTTCTATCAATCCCTCACACTAAGCATACTTTGTAAAGCACTCCTTGTAAAAAAAAAAAAAAAAAGAAAGAAATTACTAGTTAGTTTAAATTTAAATTTTAAATGCATGTCAGGGTCTAATGAGGACTACTCATTATTGTGCCTTCCTTCATGTGGTAATTAAATGTCGATAAAGCTTTTCCCACATATTTGACATAAATGGTTCTCAATTGTTTCGGTGTTCTTGTAAGCATTGAAATTACTACTTTGAGATAAACTTGTTCCACACGTCTTCCACGGAAAAGGCTTTTCATCCAAGTGGGTTGTAATAGTGTCATTTAAATAACCAGTCTGAAGGAAATATTTTCCACATGTCTAACATGGAAAAGGTTTCTCATCTGTGTGGGTTCTGATGTGATCATTTAAACGACTCAAGCGTGAGAAACTTTTTGGACATGTTTTACATGGAAAAGGTCTCTCTCCAGTGTGGGTCCTTATGTGCTCCTGTAAACTACCAGTACATGAGAAACATTTTCCACATATCTTGCATGAAAAAGGCCTTTCACCGGTGTGGGTTCTGATGTGAACATTTAAATTATAAACTTTAGAGAACCGTTTTCCACATGTCTCACAAGAAAAGGGCCTCTCACCTGTGTGAGTTCTGATGTGAGTATTTAAATCACAGATCTGAGAGAAACTCTTTCCACACATTTTACATGGAAAAGGTTTCTCACCTGTGTGAGTCCTGATGTGGTATTTTAAACTACTCATCCGAGAAAAACCTTTCCCACACGTCTTACATGGAAAAGGTCTTTCCCCAGTATGTGTCCTGATGTGATCCTTCAAACTTCGAGTACAAGAGAAACTTTTTCCACATGTCATACATGGAAAAGGCCTCTCACCTGTGTGGGTTCTGATGTGAGCCTTTAGATTGTGAACTTTAGAGAAACTTTTTCCACATGTCTTACATGGAAAAGGCCTCTCACCTGTGTGGGTTCTGATGTGAGAATTTAAATCACAATTTTGAGAAAAACTTTTTCCACACGTCGTACATGTAAAATGTTTTTCACCTGTGTGGCTTCTGTAATGGCGTTTCATGGTAGACTTATTCATATAGGATCTCCCACAAATGTCACATTGGAAAGACTTTTTGTTTGTCTCAATTTGAGACCGAGTCTCAGACCCATTGTAGCTGCATCCTTCCTGAACTTTAGTCTCAACTACATGAGAGAATTGAAAGGAAAGCTCCTCAGTTATTGGTTCTCTTTCATGCAAATCCTCTTCATGAAGAGTAAAAGTCTCCATCAAACTATTGGACTGCTTCTGGACAAGCTGCTCCTCCTCCCGACTGTTGTGTAGGTCCTTCTGGTCCTGTGTAACTGATAAATGTTCTAGTAGCCATTGTTCATGTTTAGGTAGTGAATAATTCATTTCTTCCTTTAACTCAAGCTGTGGAGATTCTGCTACCTTCTCATCCATTTTGCTCAACTGAGGTCTTGGCTCATTGTGGTCCTCCATCAGTTGCAAATCTGGTTCCTTATTTTTTTCTGTAGCCCATGTGAACTCGGGTTCCACATTTTCTTCTTTGATCAATGGAGAAACTAGATGTTCTTCTTCCTCTTTAACACACAATGGTCCTGGTTCCCTAAATTCTTTAATAAGAGGAGAGGAATGTTTTGGTTCCACCTGATCATTTCCAGTCCATTGGGCTACTACTTCACCTTGGTTATGACTGGACGAATGGCCATGTTCGGTGGTCAAAGTTTCCACCTGACTGGATCCATATTGCTCCTGGAGTTCTGTGGAGGACAAATATTAATCATTAAAAATATCTGATTATCACTTTTACAATGCATTGCTTGTTAAAAGCCTTAGGGAACATTTTGATACAAATTTACTAAATTCGTGGGTAATTGGTCGTGTTCTGTTAGGAATTTTCTAGATTTCCTTAGGAGGGTAAAGGTGCATTCAGAGAAAATAACATAAAGATAGAATTAAGGAATGCTCTCAAGAGGTTTTATGTGGCTTTAAAAAAAGCCATTTTAATTTTGCCCTGGAAATACTGTTTGTGTCCTCCCTCATCTCCAGCACAGGTAAAATCTATCACTACCCAGCATCAGTGATTCTGCGTGGATAGAGCTACAAAGAAATACCGTGTCTGGATGAATCTGACAGTCATCCAGATGCAGCTCTGGATGGAACAAAGTGGACTCTTTTTGTGCTTCCAGGGCTTTTACAAAAATTGATGGTACTCCCAAGCAGATTCAAAAGCTGATCATAGAGTAAAATCTAGCAGCAAGTTAAGTTTCACCTGTGCTTTTATTGTGAAATACCGACAGTGAGACCTTGACAAGAAATGGCGCAATGTTGCCAAGGGTAACAGCAGGTCACTGGAAAAAGTTGATCATTTTTATATATTTCAGAGCTTAATGGGGTGAAAGTTGATCTCTGGATGACCTAAAAATGTATCTTTAATACCCCTGAAACAACAGTAGCACACATGATCTTTTTTAATTTTTTTAATTTCATTTTTACAAATGACCATTTTAACTGCAAAAGCCAACACTAATGAAACACTAGCCATTCATTCTATTTGCTAGTTTTTCATCTATGAGGGGTGTCACCTTTATGCAGCTAAAGCTCCTTCAATTTGATGATGCGGTCCAAGGTGTAAATACTGTGCATCTGGAATGCAGGGCGGTGAACTACCTGCGTGGCTCGCGGAAATCACCGGACACTGTGTTCGGTTTGAATGCACCACTACAGG